GGGGGCAGTGGTAATGAGAAAAGATTGTGTTCTCTCTTGGCCCTGAATTGTGTTAGGGAAAGGTTGCTGCTTGTCATGGCTGTCTAATCCTGTAGTCACTTCCATTCTCAGCTTTAAGACTCCAGGGTTTCCTGTGAGGCATGGGGTACCAAGTTGAGGCTGCATAACTCACCTTTGTTTTTTCCTTCCCTTTCCTCCTTGACCCCCTGTGTGCTTTTATCCTCCAGCTGTGCATCCTCTGCCTTCATCCTTGGGTGTCACTGCTACCTTGGGGCAGCCTCGACCTACCCTTCCCCCTCCTGGCCCTCTAGCAACCACTAACCAGCCTTCCCCATTCCCTTTGCCTTCTAATATTGCCTTCACCTCAACCCCATTTGAAGCTCCTTTTCCCCAGTCCTCAGGGATAGCCCTGCCTTTGGGGGCTGCCCCTCCTCCCTCTGGTACCCCAACATTCCTACCAGATTTGATAGGGCCTCCCATCTCCCCAGCTGCCTTAGCTCTGGCCTCTCCCATGATAGCTCCAGCTCTGAAAGATGCCCACTCCCCTTCAGCTCCCCTGGCTCTGGTGGCCTTGGCACCTCCTACTTTCCCACCTAACCCTCTGACCTCACCTCCCATTGCTGCAGCTGAGTCAGCCCCAGTAACATCTGTCTTGACTCCCATGGCTCCCTCAGACCCAAAGGCCTCGTCTGGTCAAGTTCCCTCCCAGCTAGTCCCTAATCCAAAAGGTACATCCATCTGTCCAGGTAAGGTGGAAGCTAGTCCACCCCACCGTGAAGCTCCCTTGGCTTCTGTCCAATGTGGATCGGCAGCCTGTCCCGAGTTACCACCCATCAGTCCCTTAGTTAGCACTCCCCCTCAGGTCAAAGGTGACCCTGTCCCCTCAACTCTGACTCCTCCACAAAACCTGGTAACCGTAAAGGAGCCCCTTGGTTCCCCTGCTGCCTCATCTTTTTCGGCCCCAGTTCCTCCTGTGGCCACTTCCCAAAAGACCATGACTCCCAGTGACCCACTTTTCCTCCCTTCTCTGGGCTCTCTTCCACCTTTAAATCAAATAAGCCAAAATACTCTCACAAATCCTACAGTGGAGAACATTTCTGTGGGTCACTCCCACGTGGGAGAAGTCTCTTATCCTCAGAGCTCTGTAATTCCTCCTATTCCTTCAAGAAATGAGGTGGTTCCTGCTGCTGGGGCTGCTTTTCCCTTGGGGGCTTCCCCTTCCCCTCTGCATCTTGACAGAGGCCCCTCAGCCCTCACTAGTGTGGCTTCTCACAGCCCTTTTGGCTCCCCATCATCTCCTACAGGCTCTTCTGATACCACTAGCCAGCAGCCTTGGTTGACCCGGGATCCTCTCACTTCTCCAGGGAGTCCGGGCTTAAAAGAAATGGTGTCATCTATTGGAGCCACCCCACTTGTGATGACTGGCCCTTCTACAATTTCTGTCGTTCCTCCTACCATTGAGGCCACAACTAGTCTGCCCCCCCCAGTTTCATCAGGTCCCATCAACAGTAAGAGCCCATCTTCCCAAGCTGCATTGGTGAAGGTGCCTGTGAGCCCTCCTTCTCAAGGGATAAGCAGTCTGGAGACACCAGACCTAGCTCCTCTGTCAGCCTTTGAAGATTCCAGAAGTGTCCCCACTTCAGTATTGGTTAAACTCCCGAGCCAGAAAGATTTCCAGACTTTACCTGCCTCTCCTGCAGAAGCCCTTGTTTCTCCAGCCCAGGCAGGACATCCCTCCAATAAAGACACTCCTCCATTACCCATGGCAATCCCTAAAGATTCCCCTTCTCCCCAAAGTGTATCTTCTCTAGAAAGGTCTCTTTCTCCTGAAGCCACCCTAGCAAAGAAAAGCCATGTAGAGCCTCTGCCAGGACATGAGCCAGCCAGCATTGGTACCGTTCCTCCAGGTGTTGTTAACTCTCCAACATCTGTAATCCAGACAAATCCCTCTCCACCAACTGTAGCACCCACAGGCCTCCCAAGTGAGAAAGATCCTGCTACCCCTTCCGGGGTGGCTCTTGGAATGGCCAAAGGTACATCAACATCAGTGTCTACAGCCAGCCCTTTTCTTGAAGGAGCTATATCTTCACTTCCTGGAAGCCGCCCCCCTGAGAAGGGTACGTCCACTCTTGCTACTTTACCTTCGCTTCCTTCATCCACTGGAGGGTGTCTTGTGTCTCCAGCTGTGGCTTCATCCCCCCAGGATTTTTCTGCTTTTCCAATTACCTTGCCACTGTTCCCTGAAACCCCCAAGTCTGTGCCCTTTCCCACTCTTACCTCAGCTGGGATTCCTTCAGATGCAAAGAAAGTTGAAAGTATTTCTTATGCCTTAGCATTGGCACCTGCAGCCTCCTCTCTTGGAGGGCTGCCAAATGAGGAGGACTCTGGCGCTTCTGTCACTGTGTCTTCCAAAGGAAGTTACCTGGTTGACAGCCCATCTCCTTCAAGGGCCAGTGCCGCTCCTCAGACTGAAAGACTTGTGACAAAAAAGGATTCCACTCCTCCTCCTCCTGCTTTGACTCTTGCTCCTTCTGTTTCTCAAAATGAACCTGTCCCTGTTTCTCCAGGTGGGAATCTTCCATCCCCTGTGTCACCACATGAACCTTCCCTTCTTTCTGAGGTCAATCTAGCTTGTCAAGGCCCGAAGGGCTTACAAGCCAAGAAACATCCATCCCCTAAAGAGCTTCCCACTTCTACACCTGTGGCTCCTCCTCCTACCAAAGGGGTCCCAGGAGCCCCTTCCTCAAAAAAGAGCTCCACTCCCTCACCTGTGAGTCCTCTGTCTGCCAAAGAGGCCCTCGCAGGAGCATTCCCCAAGGAGGATACCACTTCCCCTAGTGTGACTCCTTCCAAAGGGGCCCCAGCAACTCAGTCCACCAGAGATGGCCTCACTCCCCCACCTATAGCTCTTCTCTCTTCCAAACCCACAGAGGCCCCAGCAACTCAGTCCACTAAAGATGTCTTTATTCCCCCACTGATAACTCCTTCCAAAGGGGCCCTAGCAACTCCGTCCACCAGTGTTGTTACCACTCCCTTACCTGTGGCTCCTTCCCCTTCCAAATCCAAAAAGACCCCAGCAGCTCAGTCCACTGAAGATGTCCCCACTCCCCCGCCCACGGCTCCTTCCAAATCCAAAAGGACCCCAGCAGCTCAGTCGACAGGTAATGACTTTACTCCCCTACCTGTCACTTCTTCCAAATCAAAAGGGGCCCCAACAACTCAATCCATCAACATCCCCATTCCCCCACCTATCACTTCTTCCAAAGGGACCCCAGCAGCACTATCCCCTAAGGAGACAGAGGCCCCCACTTCCCCACTTGTAGCAACTCTTTCTCCCAAAGAGATCCCAACAGCATCATCTCTCAAGGAAACCCCCACTCCCCCATCTGTGACAGCTCCCTGTTTAAAATCCAAAGGGGCCCCAATAGTAGCAGCCTCCAAAGAAAAAGGCACTGCCCCTCCTGTGAGCCTTTCCGAAGGGGCCCCAGTAGCACTGTCCCCTAAAGGGCCTTCTCCCTCTCCCAAGACCAAAGGGGCCCCAGCAGTAGCAGCCTCCAAAGACAAAGGCACTGCCCCTCCTGTGAGCCTTTCCGAAGGGGCCCCAGTAGCACTGTCCCCTAAAGGGCCTCCTCCCTCTCCCAAGACCAAAGGGGCCCCAGCAGTAGCAGCCTCCAAAGACAAAGGCACTGTCCCTCCTGTGGCTCCTCCCTCTCCCAAAGAGACCCCCATT